AAATGACTTAAATTCACAATCAAGAAGATGAATTCCTTACTTAGGTCTTGAATTCAAAGTCTACAAGCTCAATTTTACAAAATCCTTTCAATTCCTTCTAATTCTTAATCTCTTGTTGAAACCAATTCTCCTATCTCACTCTCTTACTCTCACGGTTTTGGTCTCAAAATGGCTGAAGAAGGTGCCAAACATATATGAATTAAGCCTCAAGATGTTTTGTGGAAGTGGCCCACTAAGTGGCAAAAGAGAAAATAAAGCCAACTAATGTAATTTAACATTATTTAATCTAATTTAATCATACCAAATCACATTTCAATTAAATCTACCATAAAATCACATAAATTTCAATTAGCATAAAATACCAGTCAATTTCTGAGTCGGTCGTTGATAAGACCTTCAATACGCAGTTCAAAGTTAAAATATGAACAGATCATTTAATGACTAACAGATAGAAATGCAATTAAACAACATACTCATGCATTCAGTTCAGAATTCAGTCTGTTCAATTACGTATCATGCTCAATCAGAGATTAGCACTAATCAGAGGTGAGGCTTGTCACAGTTGGGAAATAAGATCCCAACAACGATAGCCTTTATGTTCAATCTCATACCTCAAGAAGTAACACAGACAAGCTCGAGGTTCTAATTTGGAATGCTCATATGGTGTAAGGAGGACAAAACAAGCACATCCAAACACACGAAGACGAGAATAGACAGGAGGTTGGCCATATAAGCGCTCATATAGGGTATGATTGTTGATGGTAGGAGAAGGAACACGATTGATAGTAGAGGCAGCTGTGAGAATGACTTCTCTCCAAAAGCGCTTAGGACAAGAAGAGGAAATTAAAATAGCACGGACAGTATCTAAAAGATGACGATGTTTACGCTCAGCACGACCATTTTGTTGGGAGGTACCAGGACAAGAATAGTGAGAAAGTGTGCCATTTTGATAAAGGAATCTCAAAAAATTTGTTTCTTTGTATTCTTGGGCATTATCAGCACGGAAAACTTTGATGGTGGAAGAAAACTGAGTTTTGACCATTTGTGAGAAATCAAAGTATATTTGTGGTAACTCAGAGCAAGACTTCATAAGAAATAACCAGGTAAAACGAGTGAAATCATCTACAAAAATGACAAAGTATTTAGATCCCCCTATGGTGGTATTAGGAGCCGGTCCCCAAACATCAGAATGTATGAGATCAAAAGGTGCATGAGACATAGAGATACTAGATGGAAATGGTAAAGCAGATTGTTTTGCTAGTTGACAAGATAGACAATCTACTTTATTATTTGGAACAAGACCTAACTGACTACTGGAAACTAGAGATTGTAAACGACCAAAGGAAACATGGCCTAATCGAGAATGCCATAAGGCAAGAGGAGAACTAGGAGTTGTAAGAGCAGCAGTCTGGATAGTGGAAGGACTGGAAGAGGGAATGGGAAGGTAGATGAGCTCATACAGACAGCCATGTCTACGACCAATCCCAAGAGTCTATCCCGTCTTCGGATCCTGCACAACACAACTAGTTGGAGAAAAGAGAACAGTGAGGCCAAGATCACAGAGTTGGCCAATTGAAATAAGATTAAGTGTAAGATTGGGGATCAGATAAGTGTGGGGTAGAGAAACAGTAGAGGTGGAAATATGACCTATATGACTAACATGCATTAGAGAGCCATTAGCAATGTGAATAACAGGTAACGTAGAAGAAGATGTAATAAAGGAGAAAAGTATAGAGTCAGAGGTCATATGGTTGTAACAAGCGGAATCAAAATACCAAGAAGGGGTACCTGGAGTAACTGAAAGGACAGTAGAGAATGTACCAGAGGTAGAAATAACCTTTTTGACAATAGCTTCAATGTCCTGAAGAATGTAAAGTGGTGATAGGGTAACAACAGATGATGAACCAGAAGCAACTTTAGTAGATGCAAGATGTGCTAAAGACTGATCTCGACTGTATATTGTGGACGGTCCAGAATAACGACCGTGCTGAGGATAACTGTCTGAACGAGCCATGAAGTGATTAAATAATGAATCACAAAGAAGAACTAGTGATGATGGAGTAGAACTAGATAAAACAGAGTGCACCAGTGAATCCGGAACGTTGAAAATAGCCGGGAAAGAGGTGAAACTGCCAAAAATAGGCAAAATAAAGAGAAGGGCTAGCGATGATGTCAACAGGGGCATAGATGATGTCAGCAAAAGACGCAGCGCACGTTAGCAGAACGGAGGCGCGGCGTAGGATAACTGAAATGGTGTGTGGCTCACAATAGCAGGACGGCGCACGAAGGGCTGATGTCAGATTGACATGAGCGGCAACTGAAAGGCGCGTGAGGGCGCATCTGGTGGTGTTTGGCAACGGGCCTGGTGGCGTTGAAACAGGGAGAGAATTTCGAGCATGGGGATGAAAAATTTGTAAAAGTTTGGTCAAGAACGATGACGAAACAGTGTTGCTGAACAAATAATGGTGTAATCTGGAACCTTGTGCTCTGCGCTTTGATAATGCCACTGTGTACGGGCAATAAGCAAGAGAAAAGAGGAGTTAGGATTTAAGACCTACACTCTGATACCATGTTGAAATGGTTGAAAGAGATATGTGAATTATGTATCTGTATTATATTGAATGAATTGAATACAATAGGAGAGCCTGTATTTAAAAGCTGTCTACAAACCTAGATAAGTATAGAAAGAGATAGAGATAGAAAGAGATAAAGATACAAGGAGATAGAGATAGAGATAAACTATATCTACAATACAAGGAGATAAATATAAATTTAAATCTATAAATCTAAATCTAATATATACATTAACAAAAAGGAATTGGAGAGAGGGGGCAAGGGTGGCTGTCGATGGTGTCAACCGAATGTGGTAGTATATGGTGGTAGGGCTTAGGATTATTTGGTAATTACATTTAAGGGTATAATAGTATTTAAAAATATATGTAATGTAGATGTTCAACCAACATTTTAAGATGCATTTAGAGCGACCTTCCTACTATAATCTAAGGATTTTTGAAATATTCCGGTTACTGGGCTTTGGTTATGTGAGATAGCAATGATGAAATTGTACTTGTGAAATCCTTGCATTCATTGGGTTAGGCCGGTCCAGTGACTTTTGTCCCATTAATTGGTGGTGGTCAGGATGAAACTAAGAGAATATTATATTGGCCCATTGCTATCTTGCCTTTGTGAACAATATTGTTTGTGGCAGTACTTTATTTAAAAATATATGTAATGTAGATGTTCAACCAACATTTTAAGATGCATTTAGAGCGACCTTCCTACTATAATCTAAGGATTTTTGATATGAATAATGATTTGTCCCCCTAATTTCCCCCCCCAAATCCCCCGAAAAACAGATGGAGAAGAGAAAGAGGGAGAAAGAAGAGGGGAGAAAGAGAGAGGAGAGGAGAGAGGGAAACAGAGAAACAGAGAGGCCCCTCCATTCCGCCCCCTCCATTCCGCCGATCGCCGTCGCAACTCGCCGATCGTCGTCCCAGCTCGTCCGCCTCCGCCGATCGTCGTCCCAGCTCTGCCTTCTTCTCTTCTTTTTTCTTCTTCTCTTCTTTCTTTCTTCTTCTTTCTTCGCCTTCTTCTGTATTTCTGATTGAAAAAAAAAAAAAAAAAAATTCAAACGACGAAACGACGTCGTTTTGCCAATTAGGGGGATTCGAGAGGCTGAATTCGAACTCTCTAGCACGGTCCTTTTGATATATTCTGGTTACTGGGCTTTGGTTATGTGAGATAGCAATGATGAAATTGTACTTATGAAATCATTGCATTCATTGGGTTAGGCCGGTCCAGTGACTTTTGTCCCATTAATTGGTGGTGGTCAGGATGAAACTAAGAGAATATTATAATGGCCCATTGCTATCTTGCCTTTGTGAACAATATTGTTTGTGGCTATACTTTAAAAATATATCTCTCACTTTATACATAAAATAGTATGCAACATAAAAAATAGATTCTTTTTTCAACTTGCATTTTCATTTTGTTTTGCCAAAAAAAAAAAAAATTCTTCATCATATTAGAGATTACTTTCATGGTGTTTGATTTTTTTTTTTTTGGGTGTGTATATGTATAATTTCTATATCATATTGTATCTATATATGTGTATTTGTGTATATAGTGAAAAAATATATTCCTCTTTTGACCCCTCGAGTGATGAAATCCTAATTTCGTCCTTGATGGTGGTAAAGAATTGTTTGGAATGAACAACTAAGTATCTATAATTTAATATGTTTCAATTGTGTTAATTTTAGTCTCTTAAAAATAAAATATTTATTTATATGGTCCATGTGGCATTTGGGTGTTTCTTCCAAAAACCCTTTTGTTCCGTTAGTGTTTTGTTATTTTATTTTTTAATAGAATGGCAACAAGCATTAAGTCCTCGTTTGGGAGCAAACTATTTAAATAATTTTTCAGTTTTTTAGTTAAAATATGAAATAAAAAAAAAAATTAATATGTTTGAGATGATTTTTTTATTTTTTACAAGAAGATACGCAAAAAGTAGAGAGAAAAGAGAATTTTTGATTTTTTTTATATAATTTGTTAGATTTTTAGTTTTTTTTAATGACTTTTTAACTTTTAGACTAAAAAGTGATATTCTCAAACGAAACCTACTTACTACATAAATAGATATTTGAGGTATTATTTAATATCATTAGAATATGGGGATTAACCATAGCGCATATATATTGAGGTCATTAGTGTAATTAGTTTGATTATTCTTTCGAAAGTACTCTTAATTCCGTATGGGATTTGGAATGACATGAGACGCAGAAACCATATACACACATTTTATATTTGAGGGACCAAATTGATACAATTAGAACGTAAGGACTAAAATACCATAAGAGGCATACATCAGGGACCAATAATGTAATTAATCCTTTAATGTAGCAATTCACTCGAAAGAAGTTCAAGATATTACCCAATCTCTTGCAATGTTGTGAGCATGAGTAATTAAATCATAAAAACAGAGCAAAAATTGATGGTCATGATGGACAAGAAATCTCTGCATGCATTGATGAAACAGATCAAAATACAAAGTCTTCTTATTTCAGATCTTCAGCTAGGCGAAGATGCTAATTCTGAAGCCCTGCTATACACAAGTACTACATTTTAACACTGGCTTAATAACTCTATACAATAGCTCTCTATAACATGCATACACTGCAATGACAGAACAATTTTAAGAGACAGAGACAGAGACAGAGACAGAGAGACAGAGAGAGAAAACTGAAGAGACTCTCATGGATAAACCAGGAGTTACTTAGAGGGCTTCATTATGTTGAAGTTTGCAAAGCTAAATGCAAGAGATACTGCTTGAGCATTTGCCACCAACCATGTGGAAACTTGGCTCTCTAGGAACTGTTAAAGGCCTATTTGATCTGCAAAACCAAAATGAATATGAGAGAAAGAGAGAGTGTTGTATAACAACTTATTTTCGTCTTTAACTTCACTATTTTTACCATTTGTCTTGCCAATCATGCTACAATGCAAACAGTATTGCATTTTGTGTACATTTTTCGATATAAAGAAGAAAAAAATTTGTTTTCATATACTTCGTCTTGCCAAAAAGTTTATGTAAGTGTGAGTTTTTTTCTCTTATTTTTTCGTTCTTTTTATTTTTAAAATAACGCTAGTAGTGTGCTAGTAGTATGTTCAATATCAACATAACATTGCAACCTAACCAGAGTAAGGCCATACACTTCTTATCACTAAATACAAAGCTAATGGGCCCGCATTAATAAAACATACAATCATTATCTGTATTGGTATTGCTTCATTGAAATTGCTTCACTTTTTAATTTACCATTCCACTTTGATGGTTAAGGACTTGTACTAAGATTAAGTCCTAAACAAGCTGGCCAAATTTTAAATTTTGGAACGGTAACAAAGACAGTGGCTCATTTAGTGAGATTATATGAGCAAATGTCTAAACCAATATATGTTGCTACCATGGGAACATGTAAAATTACAAGGGATGTTCAATAATCAATACCGTTTCTTATAGTACGTTTGGACAGTCGATAAGCTAATTGGTTTATTTTAGGTGAAAATTTTGTGGATGTATAGCATTTTTCATAACTATAATTCATGAGCTATATATTACCTTTGTGGGAAGAAGGGTCTATCAAAGAAGGGCATCAATTGAGCTCTAGGAATCATCTCCTTCCTCAGCATCTTTACCTCTTCCTCCTCTATCATCTGCTCCAGAAGTTCAATGTTTATCTCACATTACATTAAGCTATACATACATATATACAAACATATATATATATATATCATGTAGCTCATTAATAACACTTGAATCAAGGTTATTATCACCTTCTGCAGCTTCTCTATCTGTTTCTTTTGTCGCTCTAGGAGGTATAGTTTGGTTGCAACCTGTAACATGCGTTGGATTAAGTTCAAACCATATTGTGAAAAGTTAGAGAACTATGTGTGCTTCTAGGCCATGGATTGAAAGCTCACTTGTGACGAACACTCACCGTGTAGTTGAATAACGCCCGTTTGGCAGCTCTTTCCTGGGTGTGGAGTTTGAAATCCTGAGGCTTGGTGTTTTCTTTTGCACCCTTTTGAGAAACCTAATAAAAAGAAAAAATCTTATCTTCTCTCAATTTTTTTGTTTGTTTGTTTTGAGGAAGAGATAGGGAGAAAGTAAAAGAAAATATTCAAAGAATTTGATGCCCTTTTCATTTGGTAATAAAATTATCTTGATTTGTAATTAATGAAAAGTTTTAAATAAAATGTTTTGACATAGTGGTGCCATTTGAATCACTAGTTTTTCTTTTCACTGGAGATGTTTCAAAGAATGGTTTCATAGGGTGCCTCCCAAACCTCATACCAGCATGTCATAGAAAAATGCTATTCATTAAGTTTTTTTTTATACATACTACTCGACTAAAATACAGTGGTAACGGTTTTTTTTTTTTTTTTTTTTTGAAATAATAGGGCCACCTTGATAAGGTTTTTCTATTTGAAATGAACGATTAAAATTTGTTATATTATTTTGTATAATGTTTATTATAAATCAAGACAACTCATGTGACTTTCATTTAGATGATTGTATAGTGTCATTTTATATTTATGCATGACATACAAAAAAGACAATAAATCATAGTGGCAATCATATGGGTGTAGCTTTCCCATGAAGTAATTCATTCCTTCTCACTGCGTGGCACACTAACCGGCCACCATAAACAAGCTTAATTAACAACATTATCAATAATTCAAATTTATTCAAAAAAAATTTTAAATAAATAAATTTTGATGACCATACCAAAGAAGGACTTTTGTTGGCATGTTGAGGTGAAATGGATCTCACCACTCCCTTACTAGCAGTAGATTGAATTGCAGACTGCGATTTCGCAAACTTAAATCAACACGAAATAAATAAATAAACACGATGTCAATAAAAACATAATGAGAAGCTATAGAAACAGAAAAAACATAAAATGGCTAAAATTGAAGTACATAAGTTCAAATTTGGTGCGATGTAATGTGGAGCCAAAAAAAAACAGAAAAGTGGCTGAAAATGAAGTGTATAAGTTCAAATTTTCTCTGAAGTTATTTACACGCAGAATGAATATGATCTACACTCTTCATTTTCATTTTCTAACTGCTTTCTTTTCTGACTCCTTAGCATTGTCAATAAAAAAAAAGCATAGCATATTGACCTTATGAGCAGACTTGGTGTTTGGGCTCTCCATGATCTCAGATGGGGTAGTTAGCCCTAACTGAAACTCAAACCAATGTGTATACATATAGAACATGAGGACATTGGAGATATTTATATACATGAATAACTGTCTGAATGTTGAACTTTGTTTATTTGTTGCCACATCACCAGCTTGTTGAGGAATTGCATGCTTTCTTGCACCAAACTTTCTGATTAAACCTCCCTCTCAAACATGTTAAGTCATACCATGCACTTTAAAGTTACTTCAGAGTTCATCTTTCCATTTAATTAACAAAACAATGCAAAGGCTCCTGGTAGCTTGTCAAACTTAAATTTCATTTGATTGTTTTCAAACTATAAAAGATTAAGATTCTCAAGCAAAGTCTATATGAGGACACTAATTACTTTGTTTGGTTTTAACTTTGGAATTAATTATTACAATCATCAACTTAATCAAAAGATTGCATGGTTTTCAAGTTGGGTGATTAGTCATTGAAGTTTGGAGGTGGGGGCAAGCAAGCACCATGAATTGCAAGGTGTAAGAGTATTTTTATTTTGGTGAAGAAACAATGCAAACTTTAAATATTCAATTCAATTCAAAAAAAGAAAATAAAAAATGAAATGGAAAAAAAAATATTTGGCCAAAGAAAAGAAATTTGGCGTAACAATTCAAAAAAAAAAAAAAAGAAAAAAGGAAAAAGTAAAGTGATGTTTGATAAAGCTGAAAACTGAAAATTAAAAATCAAGTGTTAAAAATTGAATTTTGAATTTAGTAAGCTAAAAATTATTTGATAAAAATTTAAAATAAGTTGTTTGATATGTATAAGATTAAATTTAAATTTATTATTTTCATATTATATATTTTAATTTTTATATTATGATAGTGAGTTGGTGATAGTGGAGGAGATGGTGTCCTTAGCTAGTGTCAATGGCAATGGTATTGAAGATAGAGGAATAGTAGTTGTGGTGATAGTGGAAGGATAATGTCAATGACAATGGTATTGAAGATAGAGGAATAGTAGTTGTGGTGATAGTGGAAGGATAATGTTGCGGAGAAAAAAAACATAGATGACGATGATTGTGTAATGATGGTGGCTATTGTTGCAGTGGAATGGTGGTAGTGATTATAGTAAAAGTGACAATGGTTATAAAAGTGAAGGATTGTGTAGTTGTTGTCCTGGTTGTAGTAATGGTTGTAGCGATTATGTTAGCGATAATGAAATGATGATGGTATTTATAACAACAATGGCAATAGTAATAAATGTGGTAATAGTAGTAAGTTTATAATAAATGTATATGTCGACACTTATGTATAGTATTTATAAATTCAATCAAAATTAACTAAGTTTCAGATCAGTTAAATTTTTTAAAATTTTTAATCTACATTTTAAGAGTCACCAATTATAATTATCAAAAGGATTTAATTGATTTTTACGTAAAACATTTAATTTTAAGAATTGAATTAGACACTCTTAAACCACACCACCAACCACGTTACTACAATTAACACCACCATCATCATCGGCCCTGTCTTAGAAAATCCGAGAGCACCCTATCCTCTCCTCGCTGAGCGACCCGGCATTTTCGTTCAAATATAAATTAGGTCGGCCCGACGCTCGGTTAGTCTAAAGGCTGGAGTGAGGGGAACATCTTCAGTGAAGCTTCCAAGTGATAGTTATTCGAAGAAATGCGAACAAGGCCCCGGGAAACAACGTCGAAAAGAGCAAAATTTGTGTGAAAACAGGAAATTAAGAAATTCAAAGGAATCAGATTAGATTAGATTTGTAAGGGTCATTGCTGATACCACCACTCCTATCACCATCACTACTATCACATTTATCAATATATTAATTTTAAAATCATAATCAAACACAAATATTTTTTCTGTATTATAAGTCCAACTTATTATAAAAATATTTTTGAGCGAAACAAAGAGATGATAAGTTAATTGAAATTTTATGAATAATTCAGAGTTCCAATGTTGAACGGGGTTATCATGATGCACAATGGGTAAGGATGAAAGTAGTGAAAATTATAAGAAAATTAATTTTTTTTCACAATCCCATGTTAGTATAGTAATTAAAATTTTAGTTTCTTGTAAAAAATATAAATACATATTTATTAAATATATTCATAAAAATAGTTATTTATAGTTAAAATTTCATAATTTCTCTATCTTTTCTTGCAAAATTATCATATGTAGTAAACAAATATTTTTTTTTCTATTTTTTTTCTTTCACTTCACTTTCCACCATTTGATTCTTTGAATTGTTTTTTCTCCCATCATATTTTAAAGCTTTTTACGCGCTTTTAAATTAGAATCCCTAAAAACCTTTAAAAATTGGATCCAATATTTAAAAAGAAAAAACACCAAAGACCAAAAACACCAATTTTCTCTGACTCTTTTTTGTTTTTTTATTTTTTATTTTTATTTTACTAATGACCAAAAACTTTACTGTTCCTCTATTTCCAAATCTCTATATTTCATATCTCAATACATTGTTAAATATATTTTGAACTTTATGTGTCAGAAATTTTTTATTTAATTTGACAATTAAAGATGCATTAAAACATTAGAAGTGAAGATCCTAAGTCTAAACCAGGTACCATGAATTTTTAAATAATGCAATTTTCATGTCTCATTTTTTTAGCCTTTCTAGGAAACAAATCTATGTGTGTGTATGTTATGGTTGTGTGTTGGAATGAAGTCATCAGTTGAGATGTCAAACAATGTTACTGGCACTATTGATGTCAGAGTCACCATCATTATTCTACATATGATTCCAAAAAAAAAAAAAGAGAGAGGCAAAAAAGTGATTAATAAAGAAAAAGAGTTGTTAAAAACCCATTATCAAATGCATTAATTTGTTGTTAAGTCTGTTATCCAACCATAGATGGAAGGTAACCTTTCATTTCTGGCTACTCTCTCTTTTCTTGGCCTCATATCTGAATCTCAGATGATGATGATGATGATGATGATGAAACAGAGCTACATGAGTGGAGGCACAATGAAGAATTTTAATTTTGGCATATAAAATGTATATATATATATATATATAATTGAAAATTTTGTAATGAAGAACATGGTTCTTTGATACAAAATGTTCAAAAAAAAATATCACAAAACTATATTATTAGATGTTTTTATTTAATGTATATGTGATTATAATGAACCAGGATATATGTGATCATTTAACTTATTAGATGTTTCACTAACATTTGGCACAACTCAAAAATTGTTTATAACTTTTACAACTTGAGATGTTTGAGAATATCAATCTTATAGTTTTGCTTTGTGTCAAGAAATTATTGGCTACTTTTAAAATTCGAGATGTCTTAAGGATATCAATTTCATAGTTTAACAATTGAAATTTCAAATGTAATTTTTTTTTTATTTTTTATTTTAGGTTGTGTGAAATCATTGAAACAAAATATATTTACAAGTTTGCAAATATGTTCAATTTTTAATGTTTTAAGAACTTATAACCATTTCTAGGTCTAAAATAAAATTAAGAACAAGTAACTTCATTACATCTTGTTTAAATCAGTTATTCAATTCTTACAAATACTATCTTAAATCTTTTAAGGAAAGAGAGAACTGAATCAGAGAAATAAAAGACGAAGATTTTTGAAATAGCTATGAAAAAGAGAAAAAAAAAAGAAACCCAAAATGTATATCAAGTTTAAGAGAGAATCAAAAAGAAAAAAAAAATGAAGAAGCAGAAGAAGAAAATCGAAATAAAAGAAAAATAAGAAGAGGAGAGAGCGTTGAAACACGTGTAAGTTGAACAGTAAATTGTTTATCTACAAGTCCAATAACAAATTCAAAGAAACTATCTAATCCAACAATCACATAAATACAACTCTCATAACGAGAGAAAAATAAAGGGTATCATACTCTTCTCTATAAGATTTGAACTTACAACGTCACATAACAAAATATGCTACACGACCATTAAGCCAAAAGCCCTGATTAAATGGAGATTGAGTTGGAGATACAAGTTGTTGCAAATTGGTTCACCACTTTTGTATTTTATTTTTATTTTTTTCAAACTTTGGCTTTGAATTGATTTTTTTTCTTTCAAAACTATATTAAGAAGCGAAATTATATAGTTTAAGAATATTTATAATTAATGTTATATAACATTAATTATAATATATATATTTAGGGATTTTCAAACTTTGGGATAAACATTGCCCCTCCAAGTCTCCTCAGTCCATAGCTGGGAGATGTCATATAGTTAGTTAGGTCATGATTAGGAAATTAACCTATAAAAAATTCATGAAACAAAAATGCTTGTGTTACAAGTCAAATGTGTGAAGTGAATCACATTCGAAGAGCCCTCATAAAGTGCTATGGTATTACCCCATTGTTCTCTTTTTATTTTTTTAGGACTCATGGCTGCTTTGGTACGTCATGGCACATCCCTTAACTAACATTAGTGACAGCTTGATAACGCCATCAGTTCTTTTATTTTTTGTCTAAAAAATAAAATAAAATTTGTGCTTTTATTTTTTTTATATATATAAAAAAATATATGGTTGCTAGACTTGAGGCAAAATCTAAATGGGAGGCCTTGTCTACAAAATAATATTTATTTATTTTATATTGTTGGTCTTTTATTGATTTTTATTTAAACAATTAGGGCTTTCTTTAATCTTGTGGTTTTTTGTATAAGAAGTGTTTTTTTCTTTTGCATACATTCTTGTTTGTTCATCATCTCAATACGGAAAAATTATCTGCGTTTAACATGCCATTCTTAAAAATAAGTTGATTAAATTTAATATTGCTTAGTGAAATAAATTATCCACTTTATGTTTGTTTTATATGTTTCAACTACGGATAAGAGCATACAACTTCAATTATATCGTTAAAAAAAAGATTTGAACAAAACGACTTTATGTGCCTAACTTTAGGAGATAGATACACATGTTAATAGATAAACAATATTACATATCATGAAAAATATTTCACGAAAACCATCATAGAAACATAACCGGCCGACCAATTGATTGATTGTATGTTTTGCCGGACGTCCAACCATGTGATGATTTTCGCAAAACATTTTTCATGAAGTTAAAACTTTTTATTAAAAGTTTTGGTCAGAATTAACAAACAAATTATATTTTTGTAATGGGGTATATTGACAAATAAATGCCTAATTAATAGTAATATTATTTAGTTTTTGTATTTGTAGAAGTTGATACCATATTTTAAACATTTACATTAATTTTTTTTTTCTATTAAAAGTTATATGGTTTTCACACCAAAGTTAGAATTTTGAATCCTTCGCTAACCTGAGCTTGATTGGAGGTCGTTCTTGGCTTGATCATGAAGAGATGAAACAGGAACGGACATGTCATATAGTTAGGTTTCATGATTAGGAAATTAACCTACAAATTAACGAAAATGCTTGTTTTTGAAGTCTTGCTTCTGTAATGTACAATGTAAAATACCTCCCCAAAATAAAAATATGTTATATAAAATATTCACACATTGTTTTCAAATATTTATTTTATTTTATTTTAAAGGCTATTTTGATACGTTATGGAACATGACACCTACACAAACCTACTCTACGTAAGTAAAGTTTTGATTGAATTCACTCATTGTTTAATTACATTGCTTTGGTACGGCATGGTATTAGTTATTTTAGTTGATATTTTAATTTTTTATAAAAAAAATATATGTAAAAAAATTAAAAAAAGAGTTACGCTGTGTTTGGTACAGTTCTTGTAATGTACAATGTAAAATACCTCCCCAAAATAAAAATATGTTATATAAAATATTCACACATTGTTTTCAAATATTTATTTTATTTTATTTTAAAGGCTATTTTGATATGTTATGGAACATGACACCTACACAAACCTACTCTACGTAAGTAAAGTTTTGATTGAATTCACTCATTGTTTAATTACATTGCTTTGGTACGGCATGGTATTAGTTATTTTAGTTGATATTTTAATTTTTTTATAAAAAAAATATATATAAAAAAATTAAAAAAAGAGTTACGCTGTGTTTGGTACAGTTCTGGAACTAACGTTCTAGAGCTTAATTTGAACACGGCGTTTGTTTACGAATTTCAAAACTTAATTCCATGTTCATTTTTGAAAATACAGTCGAAAACAGGAAAATTTGGACTAAACGGTCGTCCCATCGGATGTCCCATCAGTCATCCGGCCGGTTGACTGGAACAGTACAAAAAAATATATATATATTTTTGCAATTGACATATATTCATTTTTATATATTCAAAAAAAATATTTTCCGAATTTTTAAATTTTTTTATGTGTTTTAATAGAATTTTGAGTTGTATATTTAATTATGACTGATAAGTTTTTGTATCAAATATCATATGTCACATCAAAAATTCTCCACACAATTCAAAACTCTTTCACCAAATAAATTTTTCACACTTAAATTATAATTCCAAAACTCATAAATTCAAAATACAATTTTTACTCTCAAATCATAGTTAGAAAGCTCCACCAAACGCAACCTTAACTTTTTAATAGTAACTATTTAGTTTTTTTTTTTTTGCGACTAAAATAATAGATTCTCAAAACATGTGACAAAAACGTGTTATAATTATACAACTCATGTTTTGTATAATTACCTTATCACCCCTTGAAAATAATTAACTTTTAAGTTTCTCGCAAGATCTGTTACCATTTTAACTTGTACCGCATTGGTATAGTGAGAGTTTGGCATGCGAATTAGGAGGGTAAGGAAAATTGATAGAATCAAACCCATCGCTCAAGACTAATTGAAATTTTAGTTTTTGATTTATTTTTTTTACCGTACAGTTTGTTTCGGTGTCTATAAAATTTTAACACCTTATAAACTGCACCAACTTATTATTACAGTTAAAAACTTTTATATTTTAATTCTTCAAGTAGTAGAAGATAAATGACTAATAATATATTTTTTTAATAAAAACTAGGAGAGAGATATTTAGAAAACAACTTAAACCATTTTTTTTTTCATTTATTCCAAATGTGAGATTTTACAAGTTTTTATAAAACCTTTTAAAACCTTTTGTGAAATCTCTACACTGACAACTATCATCAAAACAAATACAATTTTACTTAATCTCCTTATTATCAATCATCTCACTAACAATCCACTCACTATGAATTTCTTCCATTCTACCTTTAAAAACAAACGGGCCCAAAGGTCAAGTTGGCCCTTCTATGGCTTGTTTGTCAACCCTACATCCGGTTAAGCAGAAGACTGTTACATGACTTTGGGAGTACCAATTTGTTCAATTTTGGTCATGTAAATAAATCCCAGTCTCTACCAACACAACACAATCACAATCGCAACATAACAAAATCCAAATTTGTCTGTCAGACGAAGAAAAACAGGTTTTCCAACGATCAGCATAACATTTTAAACATGTCCAGACAGAATCCAGTTAAAAACTGCAGCTATACCTTTCCATGTCCTTGAAAACACAGACATGTCAAAAATCACTCAACTCTGTTCAAATCTACAATATCTATAGGAACTACGCTGATTAAACTACAGCAACCAAATTTAGTCCCTTTTATAAGAATGGGAACAAGAATGATTTCATTTTGTTACATGAGCGAATGCTTATTGAAGTAAATATTCCCGGATGCTAATACGAGGGCAGCAGCCCCCTATTCCTCGGAAACCTTGAAAAATGTGTAGGACAAGATCAAGTTGTTGATGCCATCCATTTTAGGATCCGTTTCAAACTCAGGGTCTATATAAAAGAACACCTACAAATGCAAGTTAACAAAATATCACAAGCTGGAAAACAGTTTGCTCAAAAACCATTGCTTGAAAAAAGGAAGATAATACTCACAGGCATGTCAATCTGCTCTCCAGGAAGAAGCCGCTGTTCCTCAAAGCAAAAGCACTGTATCTTATTGAAGTACACTGCAGCCTAGAAACCATCACAACCTAGTCACTTATTTTTTAGAGTCACTAGAAAGAACGAAAAAATCAATTTTTTTTGTACTTCAAAGTACAATTCAAACAGAGTATATTCTTCTATACGAAGATTTAAGGTTTCATATTAAGCAAATCTAACACTAAACCATGAGCCTTGCAGGTCAAGTGGTATCCAGAAATCTTTTCCTGGAGAAAATGTAAGGGGTTTGCACCAAGAATAATTTGACCTAAAAGAATAAATAACAGAAATATTATAACACTAAACTTCAATCCATTTTTTCTCTTTTTTGGCTTGAGAATTCAGTATTCAACCAGACACCCCGATTCAGACTCAACCAGCAGATATGAGCTAGCTACTACAATATTTTTGATTGAACTGATTAAAAAGGTTATACAATAGTCTACAATAAGCTTAATGAAATCAGTGCATTGGAAGGAAAAACAAAAACAATCCTAGTGAAAACCCATGATGATTAGTGGAAAACGTCAGGTAAGAAGACCAAGAATGGACATAGGAATATAGTTGAACCACTATAAATCCTTGTGTTCATTCTCTTTATATTCCTTGCACTTTATATATATATATATATCATGGATTAATGAGGTTTATGCATGATCAATGTGTTAATCTTCAATGCCAATCAAAAGAAAGTGTTAATCTTCAATATATGTCTGAGACTAACATTTGAACGAATGATAATTGAAGATAAACTCAATATTTTAGAAGATAAATTGATATCACCGAAACTTGGAAAGTTGATTTAGGTTAAATAAATCAAATCATACAGTAAAGTTTCAACCTTGGTCAACTAGGACAAGTTCTAGTTAAAGAGGTCTATTAACCAATGTTTTTAAAACAAGACTGGACAGGCCAGTTCAACCAGTCGACCCAGCAACCGATCTACGTTCTGGACCGAATAACCGCCAAATCCATTTTGGATAGAAAATTGCATAGTTTAACAGATCTGATGAGAACTGCGTTTGCATCAGCAACAAATTTGAACTGGTAGCAGTTCAGGAAAATCAGTCAGTTTTTAAAGCACTGGTCAAGTTCATGTAGTCAAGCATCTTCCTAGGAACAACTCTGTATACTGGCAAAGGTTCCTACATCATACCTGCTTGTATTACAAATTGAGCCACAACTACAATAGATCGAGACCATAAAGAATGATTTCATACTAAATGTGTTGTACGTATCCATGGCCCATCGTCTCCAATCTCCACCCTGGCACCCCCTTAAGCCAAACCTCAAACTCTGTAAGCTTCCTTAATACAAACTCCACCAAAATTCCATTTCCAATTCCTATAGGTTTTGGTAGAAAAAAAGGTTACCACAAACTCCAAGCTAAGATCCAATGACTACTTAGCTATATGCAACAGATATTAACATATATTAACTGAAAAAAAAATTGAGCCACACAATACTTCATTACAGAACTGAAAGTCTGAAACCATTTCACAGCACCATAATAAGACCTTGTGAATCAGTATCCATTTGCACAATGACCCCTCAGTAGATCATATCGCTAAAAGGTAGTTTTTCTAGTTTCCCATGCAGGATCACAATCTTTCCTTCAAGCCTGTCCACATCATTGCTAAACCACCAGAGTAGTTGTTCAACAGAGATTTAAAAAGTCAATAGGCCTATTCTGTAGGGTCATCCTTTAAAGGCCTGCACACTTCTAGTTTACCAACTGACATCTGAAATCCTATTATTGGTCCGACCCATGAAAAAGTCTCTTTGCATCCTTATTTCGCTTAGCAACTAAAACTGGAATACTGGAGTCTGGAGAAAAAGTATGTTGGAAAAGTAAATAACAAATTCCTCTAACACATTTTCCTTCAATTTCTGTAGGCGACTCCCATTAGCATGCAGAACTAAGCCTTGCTGAGGAGTCCTTTAAAAGGCAAAAATCAAGAGCGCAATGGCTCAAGTTGGGCAACCAAATACTAGTTACTTTCACAAAAAGTTAGGCACCAACAATTTCAAGAATAAGATTTTGAGCATTCAAAGTAGAGATGGGGTTTCATTGGAAGACCCTGATTCTATCAAAAAGGAGATTATTGATTTCTATAAACAGTTGTTGGGCTCAGCTTTTTCCAGGAGATACACAGATTTGGATACTTTCCAAAGTATGGGTCTACCCAAAGTAAAACATTGTTCCAGAACTGATCTCATTTAAGGCTGTCACTGATGATGAAATGGAAGGTTTTACCAAGTTAATTGGCATATTGTGGGATCTGATGTAGCGGCTGCTGTGAAGTCATTTTTTCAAACTGGTTCAATGCATGAAGGTTGGAATAGTACTGCTATATCCTTGGTTCCCAAAGTTAAGTCCCCCATCACTGTCAAAGACTTTAGACCAATCTCTTGTTGCAGTATTACCTATTAAGTGCATTGCCAAAATAATATCTAGGAGATTGCAAAAAATGATGCTTGTTCTAATCAGTTCATCCCAATCAGCTTTCATTAAGGAAAGGGACATAGTGGATAATGTTCTTATGATGCAAGAGCTAGCCAAAGGTATTCTTAAAGGTAAAGGGCCTGCTAGATGTATGTTGAAGAATGACCTTATGAAGGCTTTATGACTCAGTTGCATGGGACTTTCTTCTTCATACTATGGTAGCTATGGCTTTCCCCCAAAAGTTTGTAGATTGGGTTGAAGAGTAGTGATTAATAGGGAGCTTGTTGATTACTTTCCAGCTAAGGCCTTGCTTGGAAACAAGTTATTTTAGTAATTTTTTGGCTTTTTGGCTAAAATATGAGGTAAAAATAACTAGTATGTTTGGAATGACTTTTTGATTTTTTACGAAAAGATGTGCAAAAAGTAGAGAGAAAAGGGAATCTTTGACTTTTTGGTATATGTTATAGGCCTTTTGGTTTTTTTAATAACTTTTTGACTTTTAGGCTAAAATTGTAACACGCCAAACGAGGCCTACGAAGGGGAATATCCCATCCATTGTATCAGCAAATAGAGATCAAAAGAAAACCACAACTAGTCATGCATCTAGTGTAAAATACAAAATCTACATAGGACACTATAGAGAGGAGAACACTACAAGTACGTCTACACTCAATTTAAAAGCCACAACAGTTCAGTATATATACAAAAAGCATCTATAATATTAACAATACAAATGTTAGATAGAAATGAACTAATACTATAATTCAAGCGATTTAACTCCTTAAATCTTTTTCTCTAGTGTCTATCACTTTTTCTTCTCTTTTAATATATTGGTCCATGATCATCAAATTGACCAAAGCTTCATCATTCTCCGCATCAGTAATAAGACAAATTTTAAATATAGGGAAAAAAATACTCACTTGAAACTATTTTTGTACATTTTCATAGTTCTCTAAGCACAATACTTACGATGGCAATAATTCAAGATAATTGTGACCAAAACCACAACAGCATAATTAGTCAATGTAACTCAAGACACATACTCATCCATGCAGTCCTACGGCAAGACTTAGAACAAGCTTCCTATAGTGAACATACTCAAATAGGAATAACTACACTGTAGCAACTCGGGCCTTAAACCTGACTTAAATCCTCTAGTTTGGGCATGGTCGTATTGTTTTCGGATCCTTTTATTTGGGTTGATTGTTGTGTTCTTTTTTCTGATCTTGTCAGTGTTGTGGCTCAAGGCCTTGCTTATGTAGGGTTGTGAGCCTTGTTTTGTAAGGGTTAAACCCTCTTCATTTTGACGTAGCCCATGGGGCATTTGAACATGTAATGAATGACAATATTTTTTGATTACATGTTTTATATTTGGGGCCACATAGACAATGAATATAGAATGCATGTAAGAAATGTAATCTCATGGATTGTATGTAATACAAATGAGGGTGGGTTATGGTTTCAAACCCCATTGTATATCGATTTCTCTCTTTAATTACTTATTGTGATTAAATTGTTATCCTTGTTCTCTTGGATTTGGGCTTCGAAAAATCCGAGGCATGACATACACCTTGATTCTTGAGTACAGATTGAGAAAAATAGGTAATAAACTCAACGAACAAATAAATATACTCATTTACTCAAGAACTAATATATTTCTGCTAGGCATGCGTGTATTTTATTGACAGATAACAAGACATTAAACATTTTGTAAGAGAACCTTTTCACATCAAAGACCTAAAGACCAGCTCAACTGCTAATTCTTTAAAAACTAGATCAATTCAAAGATAAAACAACCTAATAATAACATTATAAAACTCTCAGTTGACTTAAGTTTAATATATATACAGTAAAATTACTATTTTATAGATGAAAACAAATTGCTAATTCCCATGCACCATTAAAATGCCTAATAAAAAATTTAAAAAAATTTACCTTCATTGGGGTAACATTATATGTAGATACACCAGTTATAGGCGTTGAACTTTGATTTTCAGCAGTGTAAAATGCGAGGGCACTTTCTCCTGGTTTAACCCTTACCTATAGATACAATCCCATAACATAACAGTTCAAACACCAGAAAGGATATAAGTCCCCTAATACACATATATACACGCATACAAAATAAATATGTTATGTTTATATATAGGGTAAATTACAGTGATCTTCCGGAGGTTTGGAGAAAATAAAGCAAGCCTCGCGGTTTTGATATAATTACATTAGGCTCCCTTAATATTTTAATTTGCATAACACTTGGCCCCCTTTTCATCAATTATTTGTTGGTGTGATTGATCGAAAAATGATATTGTCATTTCTTATACACTGAAATATATAGGTTGCGTTTGGTAGAATTTTGTAAATATTATTTGAGAGTATGAGTTGTATTTTGAGTTTGTGAATTGTGAAATTATGATTTGAGTGTAGAAAATTTGTTTGGTTATGGTTTTTGAATAGAGTGCTGAATTGAGTTTTGAATTGAGTGTGCAATTGAGTGTGCAATTGAGTTTTGAAAGTTTGATTTGACATGTGAAGTGAGAAAATTTGTTTGGTTATGAGTTTTGGAAAGAGTTTTCAAAACTTAATTCAAATTGTTATAACTCATAACAAAACACACTACTTTCACATTATTAAAAATTCTGATCAACATTCATAACCAAACTCTTTTTAAAATTCAATTAAAAAAATTTATTATTAACAGAAAATAACATTAATCAATTTTTTAATTGAAAATACTACAAAGAAAATAATTTTTTTTCAAAATAAATATTCAAAAAATTTAAATCATACATATTTAAATAATTTAAATAATCTAAAAAATTTAATAAGTAAAAAATTAAAATAAATATTCAAAAATTTTAAATCGTAAAAATTTAAATTTTTTAAATAATTTAAAATGTTAATATTTTAAATTTAAAAACAACGCTACACTCAAATCGTAACCAAACACATAAAACAAAACTCAATTAAAAAATTATTTTTAAAACTCATAATCAAACACATAACAACTCGAAACTCTATAATATTTTCAAATACATAACAAAAAAATTAAAATATTTTTATAAAATAGAGTTTGAATTTATTTTTATAAAATATTTTAAAATTTAAAAAATTAAAATCGTAACATTTTGAAATTAAAATATTTAAAAATATTCAAAAAATTAAAAAAATTAAAAAAATCGTAACATATTTAAATATTTAAAATATTTTAAAAAATTAAAATATTGATTTGAATTGAATTTTGAAAAGAGTTATTTTGAATTGAGTTTTGAAAAATGAGTGTAGAGTTATAATTTGAAAGTTCAAAACAAACAACACACTCAAATTAATGGGTGAAACTATAATTTGAGAGTCTTACCAAACGGAGTCATTTTTTCTTATTTATTCTTGTGTTTCACACTATTTGTATTAGTTTCGATTAAGGGTAGCTATTGGCTCTATGGCCTATCCAACCCACCGAACCCAACTCGATAATTTTAGGACTAGGGAAAAATTATTTAGCTCATAGGGGTACGGTGGGCTGATATTTTGGTCCATTTAATTTTTGGGCTGGACTGGAGGTGAGGAGTTTTAGCCCAATCTGCCTAGTCCAACTCTGCCCAGCCCACCCCACCCATTTATAAAATATTAATTTTAATTTTATATTACTTAGTTACAAAATAAATTAGAAAAATAATAAAAGATAAGAAATATATATATATATATATACTTTTTTCTAAGGCTTAAATTAAAATATTCGTTAAATGACCATATTTATTTTGCAATTAAATTTTTTTAATGTTTCAAATTTAAATAATTATTAAAAGAGTCTAAATAATTTAATAACTTTCAAGAAAACATAAAAATAAAAAAATTAGTAGCTCAAGTCTAATGGTTTGTTAAGTATACGGGCCTGGGATTTAGCAGTTCTTGTAGGGCCGAACTTGGGATGGCTAGATTAAGCCCGATGTCGAGTCGGATTGGGCTTGGGATGACACATATGCTCTTATTATATGGTGCAAGCCTGGCCCAGTGTTTGTCAACCCCTAGTTTCAATACCTTTAATCTTACTAAAAGGGAGGTTAATGTAATTATACCAAAACTATCGAGCTACTTGTATTTTCTCCAAACCTCAGGTGAGGTTAGTGTAATTTACTCATATATATAATATGTTATGCATATATATGACACATTATAAACTAGATAACCTCGCGTTGAGTAGGAACAAACTTCCATTGCATTCCATCAGCCACATCAGCATTGAACTGCACCACAATCTCCCTCAAAACAAGAGATTGTGAACTTGTAACAAAGCATGCAAATGGGACAAATTCATCTCAATTGAAATTTTATATCAAGATCTTCTCAGAAAATGTACCGGATGGTCACATAGGGACTTCAATTAACAGAATAGAAGGATGGGTAGTGCCGTGTTGTGTTAGACCACTTTCTTAGAAGTGCCCAATGAGTGTCGTGTTGTGTCAGACCACTTTCTTAGAAGTTTCAGTAGAGCACCCAAGACCCTAGCTTCACTCTAATTTCTTGATTTAAATGAAGTGTCAGGAAGAATGAAACTATGCTATGTTACAAATGGAAGCAAATATGGGGGTTCATCTAATCAATGTATCGGTTCTTTTGTACTATAGAACTTGATTAGTGTTGTTGTAAAACTTCATTGATACCGTTTAACAACAAAAGAAAAATTGCAGCTTTTTTCTCCCGCTCTAGTCTCTGTCAAACTTATCCTCTCTTGCAACTTTTAATTAACAGCATAAATACATACATACATATATATATATATAAACAAATCAATCTCTACAAAAAAAATTGCAAAAATGCAAAACATATAATTCCACCTTATAAGCTTTACTTCTTATCACAAATGGAAAAAGGTTTTGACCATTGTACTAATTGATAATATAGACAACGAAGAGTTGCTACCTGGTGGTGCGTGTTCCGTCTTGAGCATGGCGAGCAATCTTTTCTTCAACACTCTAAAACATACTAAGGACTTCAAATACCATCTATGAGGGGTAAAAAAAAAAAGTTCTGGACAGAAAATCATGAGATTGAGTCTCACCTCACGGCGCTGAACAGTACCCCCATATCCAGTAGCTTGGCAGAATCTCCTATACAAAGGAACTGCGGCGTAAGTACACCCCACCATTGCAAAAACCAATCCCGTCAGATACAAAAGCATCTTCTTTGATTTATGTTCTCTGGCAGCATGAGTTGCATATTGGCGCCGCACATCCAAACATGGAGTTAACTGACCACATTTACCAAACGACCCCACACTTGATTCGCATCTTGTCATTACACCCCGAAATTCATAACAGAAATCCCACCCATTTCTAGTACTATTAGGTCCCACAAAATTACGTGTCAACCATGAAGAATCGAGTGAGCACCTGAAAATCAAATTTATCATTTGGACCAAATCTAAATAAATAAGGGCATCTCCAATCCTTGACTCAAAACCCATATTAAATTTAAATTTGGGTAAAATCACTCAAAACACCATCCACTCCTGAGAGCCAAACTTATACCGAATTGAGATTTACTCAAATTTTTACCCAAATCAAGGGAGATTCAAATGTTTATTCAACATTTTCAAAGCTATTTTGTGGCTCTCAAATTTACCGCTCTACTAAGGATTGTTTTGGAAACTAGGTATTTTAATTGATTTTTTGATCTTTTGCAAAAATACGTGCAGAAAAGTAGATAGAAGAGTTGACATTTCGGTAGTGGTTTTTTTTTTTTAACTTTTTGTCTAAAATAGCCTATTGCCAAACTTGCCCTGAGTTTATCCGTTATCAAATAAAGTTTTTACACAGATTTTTACTTAAAATTGATTAAAATGTTAAGGGCTGGAGATGACCTGAGCTCATTAAATTAGAGTAATGTGTGTAAGCCCAGATTTGTTTGTGTGTGATAAATATGAATTAGATATATTAATATGTTTTGATGAACGAAGTTACCTGTATCCAGAAGAGGAGTGATGTACATGCTTGTAAATCTGAGGCAATCTGAAAACCCTAGACCATGACATGTTTGGAGATATAAAGGCACTCTTGGTAGCATCTGAAACACAACAAAATTCACCAAAGACTCAATTCATTTCACAGTCATTCTCTGTTTGGTAGTTGAAAATCCTGAAAAAAAGAAAACTTGTTTTTGGTTAGTGAGAGTGTATTTTGAAATAAAATAAACAAATAAATAAAATCAAGATAGGAGAAGATGAGAGCAGAGAGCTTTCCATTTTTGTAAAAAAACACTAATAGATGCAATCACTATCCCTTTGCTCTGTTTCTCGGCAACCAAACAAATGTTAAATAAGCAAGATCGACTTAAAACACCAATTAAAGTTTAAGGACCAGAGCTTCGACGGGCAGCTTTCAAGCTGAACGATGAAACCCAAATTTCCCAAGAGCTTCAACGGGCAGCTTTCAAGAACAAATCACAAAATCCCCAAATTTCAGAATCAATTTAGAACAAATCAAACCCAAATTTAAGTCAAGAAAAAATCAACCCAAATCTCACAAATTTAAATAAATTTCAGAAACGAATTTAGAAAATAAAGACCTGGATTCCAGTATGATTGATGAACTTCTTCTTTGGGATTGATTTGCAGATGAGCTTCTTCTTTGGGATCGATTTGCAACCATAGTTAATCCCAGTAGACTTCTCTGTGCAGAGATGGGTGGCTCCGAACTGCCCTTGCCCTAGCTTTTTCCCGATTATGTAAAGATTTTGGAGACTTTAGGTCTTGTAGGGAAGGACCCAAATGGGTTTTGTAATCAGAGATTGATTGTCAAGGTCTGTTTGATGATCACTTTTTCATTTTACAGTTTATATTTATAAAAATTTAAAAAATTGTTATAAAAATTTGTTTTATGATTTTTTAAAAAAAATTGTTATAAAGATTTGTTTTATGATTAATTTTTTTTAATTTATAAATTATTGTCTCAATTTATAAATTTAAGAAAAAAATATAAACTCAAAAAATGAGTTTACTAGTTTTTAAATAGAAATTTAAAATTTTGACTAATAATTTTTTTTTTAAATAATTTTTATCAATTAATTTTTTTTCAAATACTTTTTTTCAATTATTTGTTTCGAATTAATTTTTTTCTCCAATCATAATGTGTATGATCTTATTATCATAAATAATAAAAATATATATAAATATTTTAGAGCTAAACAAGCATATTTTTTAGTTTATGTTTTTAAATTTTTTTAAACATTTTGTTCAAACCAAATACGCTTGTAGTTTATATTTTTCTAAAAATAAACAAAAACCAGTTTATAAAATTTTTGTAAACATAAAACCAAAAACGTAAACGTTACCAAACGCTACCTGGTAATACTTACGTTTTCAGTTTTCAATTTATATTTACAAAAGTTTAAAAAAACTCAAATAAAAACTTGTTTGGTAAATTTTTGATTTATAAATTAATGGTCTCAGTTTATAAATTTGGCCAAAAAATGAAAACACAAAAAATAAGTTTACGTTTTGAGTTTTGAATTTTTTTTTTTTTACTACCCAACACTAGTCATCACCTGCCACCATTTTCCACCACCATCTTCTGCCACCACCACCCACCCCCCACCCCCACTACTACCTGCCACAACCACTCACCACCCACCTGCCACCCACCTGCCATCACCACCCACCACCACCCACTCGCTACCACCCACCCATCGCTACAACCCACCATTCGCCACCGTCACCCACCCACCCACCCCGCCACCACCACCCACCTACCGCCACCCGTCACCCGCCACCACCACCCACCGCTATCCACACACCACCTGCCATTCGTCACCCACCCACCCACCACCACCACCCGCTACTCACCGCTACCACCACCCAGCACTACCCGTCATCCGCCACCCACCTGCACCCACCACCCACCACTACCCGTCATCCGCCACCCACCTGCCACCACCACTACCCACCATCATCCGTTATCCGTCATCCGCCACCCACTGTCACCACTACCCACCACCACCTATTTGCTACCACCCGCCACTGTCACCCACCCACCCATCCACCACCACCACCCATTACCACCACTCCCACCCCCACCCGTCACCATCACCCACCCGCCACCACTTTCCACCACCTTCTTCTGCTGCCACCACCTGCCACCTGCCACCACTTTCTACCACCATCTTTCGCCACCACTACCCGCCACCTGTCACCACTTTCCACCACCGTCTTCCGCCGCCACCACTTGCCACTTGCCACCACTTTCCACCACCGTCTTCTGTCACCATCACCCACCACCTGCCACTATTTTCCACCACCGTCTTCCGCCACCACCACCTGCCATCATTTTCTACCATCGTCTTCCGCCGCCGCCACCACTTGTCTCCACCCACCACCCGCCACCACTTGCCATTTCTTACTCTTTTTTATATTTTAAATTTTTTTTAAACATTTTGTCTAAACCAAACGCGTTTGTAGTTTATGTTTTTCTAAAAATAAACAAAAACCAGTTTATAAATTTTTTGTAAATATAAACTGAAAACGTAAACGTTACCAAACAGACCCTAATGGTATATGTGTAATAATTATTTGAAAGTGAAACATTAACAAAATTCAATTGTACAACAAATATAGTATTTTAACAAATGTTTTAATTGAAGTCATGAAAAAAAAAATCTTTTATCTTTTATTATTTTTTTAATTTATTTTGTAATTAAGTAATACAAAATATAAAATAATATTTTATGTACGGGGATGAAATATTCTCAGTTCTCCGTACTTCTTCAACCCAAGCTTCATGTAACGTCGCTTAGCCTGAAAACAGAAAAATGGTGAGCTGCCCAGCGGTGTGCTGTCGGATAAACCCTCTGACGATCAAGTCAGCATACTTGGAGAAGAAAAAGAAGAATGGAGAGAGCATTCTAGCGAGAGAGAGAGAGAGAGAGAGAGTTGGGAAATCCTTCAGATTGCTTATATTCTATGTTTGCATGCTCCTCCTTTTCAAGGCTGGCCATGCAGCCACAGAGATTGTGGGCGCACTACCTCTGTTGTCCTTCTCTGGACAAACGGTTGTGCTCGTCTCTACCTTTCTTACATATGTAGAGACCAAAACCTCCAAACAGTGTTTGTTGCACCGCCAAACGGTATTGACGCATACGACAAATGGATTTCCCCATTACTCTTCATTGGTCCACGTGGAGTGCTAGGCCGAGCCATTACTTGGTAAGACACAAGCGTCACGATGGACAAACATAGCCGAGCAAAATCGAACAAGTCTATGAGAACCGCTTAGACACGGGCACGCCGTTCGATAGCTCGACCCTGCACATCGATCTCAAGAGTCATCTGTCCCTACATCAGTCCAAACTGCCCATAGCTTGGCAACCATCTGGTTCTGCATGGTCATCACCAGACTAAATATCCGCAAGCCACCGTACACCAGGGCTACATATAGCCCTGCCAATCATAGTTGGTCAAAGCACTGTGTTGGTGCAGCTCGGCCATGCACAACGTCTGGTCTCCAAGCGAGCCAACACCACAATTCGTGCTGCTCGTATCTCGAGCCAACTATTCGGCACAAATCTCCCTCTCATTTTATAAATAGGTTGACTAGGCCAAACTAAGCTAAAACTACTTATCTCATGAATAGTTTCAAAATTAAATAGATTCAAAATCTCAATTTAATTTGTTTTTAAATATTTTTTAAAATTTTAAAAATGTCAATTAAATATTTTTTTTTTTCAAATTCTAAAAAAGTCAATAGGCTAAGTTAAGCTGGTTAGATGGTTCCATCAGGCTACAGAATAAATTGATAGAACCTCCGAAGTCCTGACCCGCGGGTTCATATGTCCGGACTTTTCGGAAAATGTTTGAGACCACTAATTAGTGGTACTGCTAATGATGTGAAAGTGGACCCCACCCACTGCCACAGTGTTATTGTGCCTTCTTGTAGTTGTTGTTTTTTTTTTTTTAAATGCGTGCTAACTCACTAGTAGTGCTTTAGAGCACCATTTTTAGGTTTAGTTTTGCATCTTCAAAATAAAACAAAAAGTTAAAAAGTTACTAAAAAATTTAAAAAGTTATCACTATTTACCAAAAAAAATTATTTTTATACAAATTGTGAGATAACTCACTCTGATGTGAGTTTGTCTTTGCCTGACTTTGGTGAAGACAAATTACACAGGCAAAGGCAAGCTTAAGGACAGTGTTGTTCGGCCCGTGGGGGCCATCACGGGTCCCATTTTGATAATTTGAACCGTTCAATGTGTAGAACTCGTCGAGTGCTATATGCGTATAAAAAATCACGTTGGTCGGATATCGTTAACTATATGATCAAACTAGTTTTGTATAAAAAATGGATGGTGTTATAGTTAACGGTTAAAAAAAAACTAATCTGATCAGATAGCTATCGATATCCGATCAATGTGATTTTTTTTAAAGTATATAGTACTCGACGAGTTCTACACATTGAACGGTTCCGATTAGCAAAATGGGACCTGTGGTGAGCCCCCATTGGTCGAACAGTACCGTCCAATTCAATGCCCGAAAAGAAGGGAATCATCTCCTACCCTATACTCTACACATGCTGCCTATTCTATCACAATCTTCTTCTATACACAAATTTATACAATTTTTTAATACACATTTTTAGTAATAAATCAAAAAGTTATCCCAAACAACCATATTTTTTTTTCAACTTTTTAATCTAAAAAATCAAAAAATATACTTATTTAGGACATCTCAAACAACTAATATATATCATTTTCAGGACTTTTGTGGACTTTCTCCTCACAACAATCGTTATACTCTTAACTTTTGGAACTTTTTCTTGCAATTGCTTTAACAGTCTCTCTCTTTCTCATACATTCTCTATAGAACGAAGAAAAAAACACAGAATGTTCGGAGTGGTGTTCCCAGATCGGAGCTTCCCAATGGACATCTCAAACTTCGCCCAAATCGATCCCACTCATTGGATTCTCGACATGAACACCTTCGTCCGCAACCCCTTTCTCTCTACTCTCTCTAAACTTCAAATTGTAAAATTTAACCTAGTCTCAATCAATCAATCAATCTTATTGTGCGCAGGAGAGGCGTACGATTCGATCAGAGAAGTGTGCATATTCCTTCTAAACAGCCTTTATCTTCCACCAGACAAAGCCCTAGCGGTTTACATCCAGTCCCCAAGCTCTCCCTTCATCTACTGTGGCGCCGTCACGGTGGTCTTGCCATCGGCGGTGCTGTCGCTGCGGTAGCCGGAGCCTGGTGTTCAGATGCAGCTCACGAGCCCCAACGCCGCCCCGCTCTCCGCCAAGATCGGCATCTCCGTGGAAGACCTGGCCACCCTTCCCTTCCTCGATGTGGCGACGCAGAACCGGATTGAGCATCTGGCTATGAAGGTTGTGGAGAATTTGATCAATTTCATGAAGTCGTTTGGCGGGTTGATGGTAGCAAGCTTCTTCTTGTTGAAGTAGTCAAGGAGTTGTCCTAGTCCTTGTGAAGTTTGTTTACTACTGTCCTTACCTACTTTTGGTTTTGAGTAATTTGAGTTATTATACAGCTAATAAACAGAGCAGCTTAATATGACTTTGTAAAAGACTGTTTTGGTTTTTAATAAACAGAGCAGCTTTACTCTTTCCCAGCTCTTATTGTGTGTAAAAGTCTTTCTCTTCTTCATTTTGCAACAGTGGTATCAGAGCCTCCGAGTGAAAAAGTGAGATAGAGAGTGAAATAGTAGTTGTTCTATTTCTCTGTCACCTGTTTTCCTTTATAGCAGCAGACAACATCGATGGCTTTAAAAAATTTTGTGCAACCATCCATTCCTCGTTTTGATG